CTTAAAAGATTATAACTTTTAAAAGGCTCGAAATTTTCGACTGAAATTTTCAGATTATAGTTTTCAATAGTTTTACAACCGATTTATAAAAAAATCGGACAAGTGCGAGTTACACTCGCGGGTTCCGAGGGTTCCGTACCCTTAAACCTAAAATTTAAGGGAGTGAAAGTGTAAAGGCAGGTGGAAAAATTCCAATTTTGCTTAATTTTTCCTGTAATGTGAGCATAAAAACACATAGATAGACACATAGTCACATATAACGAAAATTATCAGTTTTTCCTTGAAACACTATGATTATCAACTCCAATCATGCTCACTATATTTTTCTTGTAATCTACACGTAAAAATACCTAAAAATGTATAAATTTGAAGCTCTTTAGATAAAATTTTCTTCGTTTTTTGAAAAAAATTCATGATTTTTATAGAAAATTATCAGTTTTTCCTTGAAAACTTTATGATAATCAACTCCAATCGTTCTCGCTATATTTTTTTGTAATCTACACGTAAAACTACGTAAAAATGTATAAATTTAAATCCCTTAAGATAAAATTTTCTTTTTTTTTTATTCGAAAAATCCATGATTTTTTCTAAAAATATGAGTTTTCCATAAAAACAATATGATCATCAACTTCAATCGTGCTCGATATATTTTTTCTGTAATCTATACGCAAAAATACGTAATTATACCAAATATTAACTGTCTTGGTTAAATAGTGTGTGCGCTAGGAAGATTAAACGCTTTTTTAAAAATTTTTTGATTTTTCCTTGACAACGCTATGTAAATCGATCCGAATCATGTTCGCTATATTTTTCCTGTAATCTACACGTCAAAATACATATGTGTACCAAATTTCAGCCCTCTAGATAAATTCGTGTGGCCGCTAGGGGGGGGGGGTACATGCCTTGCTTCACTAGTCTCATTAATAGGGTTCCCCCTTCGGGTACGGAACCCTAAAAAATAGAATTTTTTGAAGCTTTGAATTTTTTTGTCATAAATATGTCTCTGAAATTCTTTGGCATTTAATTATCGCCCCATAAAAACGGCACTGAACGTGAAAATGGTAATCATTGATTTTTAAATACTTTTTTCTCAAAATGCGGACACTTTTTTCAAAATCGAAAAAAATACCAAGGATCCTTATCTTATTATATAAAGTATTATAAAGTCAATAATGACAGCTGCGACATTGTACTCGCTGCATGCTTCTGACACCTAAAGGAAGGTCCACAATAGCCATGGAGCGTGCTGTTAGCGCGCAACATGCGTGCAAATGTCGACGCGTAAATATGACGTCACAACGTTCTTGCCAACTGTCTAAAATTTTTATCTTGTCCCATGTTTCGCGGTTCTGCTCAAGACATGTTCCTCTGTTTCGGTAATTTAGAAAATTCCATATACATATTTATTTTCAGTCAACAAATTCGTATTATTAATAAATAATGTTTACAGTTTGGAAATTTATTTTGTGTTTTTGGATTTCATTTCTTAAACTTGTTTTATTAAAAAAAATATGTAGCGCCAAAAAGCTACAAATTGTGGATTAAAATAAAGTCAAATTGGTCAAAGAAATAGTAGCTGACTATTTTCAATAAAAAAAAACAGAAAGTTCGGCAAATATTGGAATTATTTTTCATATCATTATTATTTATTATTATTGAAAAATCGAATATAATTGTGTTTGCCGTTTTTAGAAATATGATGTGACGCTCGACGAGAATGGACCTTATAACTTAAAATTTTAGTGCAATGTTTTGTTAATAAAAAGTTGCTTTTAAATAATACAAAATCAAAATCAGTTTTTATTGAATTTTTTAAATGTAGTGACGTGTTAAATATGTTTGTAATTAAGAGTTGATTCTTTTTGTGCATTTTCAATTCAAAAACAACAAACATAACCTATAAAAATAATAAAATAGTAAAATATAACATAACCTATAATAATAATATATAAATAAGTGTTAATATAATTTTTTTTTAATTAAAAAAGTGGAAAATATGTTGTTTTACAGAATTTTTTTAGATTATTCAAAAAAAGATAACCGAAATATAAATATTGACTAATTCAATTTATATTCAATTGAAATTTCATTTAGTTAATATTGAATGTTGATCAACAATTAAAATAGAGAAGTTGATTCAATTTGGAATAAATGAATTTTTATAATTAATTTTTTAATTGACGAAAAGTCGAAATAATTAAAATTTTAATTAACTGCGAAATTTGAATATTAGATTTTAATAGCATAAAATAATACATAAAACTTTCACAGTGTATAATGTTATAAGAAAAATAAAAAAAAATTTAATTAACCAAACAATTAAACACAAATTAAAAAAAACAAACGCTATGAAAAAGAATTATTTGTTCAATCTTCGATCTTTCTTGTTCTTTATGAGTTCTTTAATTCTCATAAAGCACGCAATTTGCTTATGATCTGGAATGCGATTCCAACAGTCCCGCATTGCCAAGTAATAATCGTTAGCAACTTGAGTTTCAAATTGTTGTTCTTGAGGGCCCAAATCTGGTTGAGTTGTCACTTGCGGATCCGATATTTCTCCTTCGTCATCACTGCTGAACGTTTCGCTTCTATTGTTTGAAAAGTATTATAATTATAAATAAACAATAATATAAAATTTTAATTTCATATATTTATAATTTTTTTAAAATAAAATTAATCAACCTTCCTCTAAATTAATCACAGGTTGAGTTTCTTTGGCATGCTCGTTAGCCCTGTTCGCAAAATTGATTACAGTTCTGTAAATAAATATTGTTATTTTTATTTTATTAATGAAATATATTAAATGTTCCAAATTTTAACTTTTGAATTTACTTCCGAAATACAGGACAACTTTCCATAAAATTCATCGCCTTATAATATGGCCATTTTGATTCATAATTTTCTGCTTCAGAGCCGGAATACATATACTTTTTCACTTGTTGACGTTCAGTTTCATATTTTGCTACTAACTTTTGCCAAGCATTGTGCATTTCATCTACTGTAAAAAATTAATTACTATGATTGTAAATTATATTTTATTTCTATATTTAATTTTTTATATTATTAAAATATTTATTTATTGATAAATATAATTATTGTATTATAAAAAAATTTTATTTATTTTTTATTTAATGTTTAATTTCAATAATTTAATATTGGAAATATTGGCAATATTGCTGAAATATCAGGTGCTGTAGGGGAAAGAATGAAAAGTTGTTAGTAAATAAAAAAAATACAGTTGAAAATATTTTAAAAAATGACGGATTTTCTACTCCAACAGATTTCAATTACTTTAGCAATCGATTTTTTTTATTTCTAGGAAAACATGATTTACGATTAGACGGATCAATTTTTTCTTACTTATGCAGAACAATTAAAAAAAATAAATTGCAAAAAAAGTCCTGATTATGATAAAAAATTATAATATATTATATAATATATATTAAGTTATAATAATAATAAAACTTTTCAGAATTGGATTTGATAAAAACTTTTCATAGAATTAATAAATAATTACTTACCGCTTGTTGGCATATTAGTGACCATATAAACTTTTGTCGCGATTTCTTAACAATCTTCTTTTCTTTTTGTTGCATTTTTGTAGGCTGGTAGCGATTTGTTGTATAATTTTTGGAAATTTTTCCATTACATTTATTAAAATTTCAATGATGTCGATTTCCGCCATTTTTCACGACTGACGTTTGGAGGAGAAGTGAAAATTAGACAGTCTTTTGTTTTTTCCATCTTCGTCAATAAAGTTATTAAATTTTTCTCCTAGATGTCTATCTTATTTTATCACATTAAATGTCTGATTTAATGTAAATCGTTGTATATTAAATAAAATTTATAATTTTTCAATTCAGAAATTAATTTTTATTTCTTAATATTTATTATTTCTTTAACTATATTTTGTATATCTTATTCGTATAAATCTAAAAAAATTTCATGTATTAAAAAAAATTTGGAATAAACTAATAGAAAATTTTATCAGGGTTTAATTCGATAACTTGAGATTTTAGAAGAAAGAGGTTTATTTTAATTGTATTTGTATTTAGTTTACAAACTTTATTTCGATTCGACTACAAATAAAAAAGAACTGGAACTGAACATAGGAAATTAATTTTTAAAATAAATGTACTTGAACATAAATGATTGGAAAAACATCCAAATAAAGAAAATAATTCAATTCGAGTCATGAAATTCTTCGAAAATTGTCAGAATTTCAGGAAACAACTCGTCCTGCTCCTCTGATGTCAACGTCAAAAACTCTTTTCTAATTAAATTCAAAAATCCTCGTTCAGACTCGATGTGTTGTACCGGCAGTATTGGAGTTGACGATGTTCGACTTTGTAACTTAACTGTTTTTAAGGCAATCAACTCCTTGGCGCTTTTATATACACTTTTGAAGTCTTGTATAGCAGATATAATCTCTTCTTCCACATGTGTTACAGCTTGATTCTTTTTCCTCAATTTGTTTATCGCAAATTGGTCCATTTTCGGAACAATTAATTTTCTACTATTTGTTTGTTGTTGAATCTTATCCCTGCATTTCTTTTGACTTAATTTTCCAAATTGAGATCCTTTTTTGTTCTTTGGTGTTCTATCACTTGTGCCTAATTCAAATGGATCATTTACATTTTGCGCATGTTGAGAAAAAGCATTGAAATTACTGTCACTTCTTGCACAAAGAATACTCGAACTCTGTTGAGGTTGTTGGACGCTTTGCATATTTCCATCCTCAATAACAATTTGCTCATTTACTCTTTTTTCAATTTCAACAGTTTTCTTCCGTGATATTTTGTTGCCACAAGGATTGATTTCAGAAGAAGTTTCCCGGACTTGCGGTCCAAAGTCTTCGTTGATGCACTGATCCACAAGTTTTTCAATTAAGTTCTGGTTCGATGAACTAGTAAAATAACAATGGTCCTCGGATGCTCCAACTATGAAATTTTCGACGTCTTCAAAATCATGACCTTCGTTCATTGATGTCTCATTGGTAGAAATTTCCTGTTTAAAATTATCAACAATCGAAATATCATTAGTACAATCTGATGATGAGTATAAGTCATTAACAGCTGCAGTATAAGTTCGGGTCAATTCTTTGCCAGATTTAGAGAAGGACCTTGTGCTTCTTTTCGGAAGACACCCGCAGAACAAGAGGCAACAGTTGATAAATCAACATCGACAGTTGGAGTATCAGTTTGCAACAAATGTCTGTCAGATGTCGGGAAAAAATGTGACTATCCAAATCCATGCGACTATCAAACGATCCTCGTCTTTGTCCTTCTTGTCCTTGTCCTTGATCTTCTCCTCGTCTTTGTCCCTGCCTTTGTCCTTGACCTTCTCCTTGTCCTTGTTCTCTAACAGTGGCATTTGCATGTACTCCAGGATTTCTGTAAATTAAACTGTACATTAATATAAAAATATTTCAAATTATTGCAATTAAATAGAATAAAGTTTAAAAAATATTTTAAAAACTTCAAATTTTTATTTTTTTGTCAACTTTTTATATTATGTACATAAAAAGTAGTGAAAAATATAATTTATTGTATTCCTTATTATTTATTTTATAGTTAAATTTTATATGCTTTTAAAAATCTAGAAATTAAGCAAAATAGACCGAAAGTAAATGCCGCAGTTATTACATTATTCTAGTTAATTGTTGTTTTAAAATTCAAGTATAATTCAAGGTTTGTTTCCTTGCGATTTTTGTAAAATTAATTTTAATTAACAAAATTAGGTTGTGACAACACTAATTAATTTTATAAAAATTAGTGATGAAATTACCTTTCATAATTCTGAATATCGGGTCTCGGAAACTGTGGAAGTTGGCCAATGATTCCATTGTCGAAATGATTGATTAAATTTCCTTGTGGTTTTTGTCTCATGAAATTAGCAGGTTCATCACCAGGTCTTACAAGCTCTCGAGGTTGTTGAATGATACCGATGCCTTGAAAATTACCAACGTTTCCCTGTACTACGTTTCTGTTGTCCAAATGATTGATAAAATTTCCTTGTGGTCTTTGTCTCATGAAATTAACAGGTTCATCCCTAGGTCTTACAAGCTCTCGAGGTTGTTGAATGATACCGATGCCTTGAAGATTACCTACGTTTCCCTGCACTGCATTTCTAGGCGCTCTATGTCTAATGAAATTTTCCAAGAACGACATGTGTCCATAGTAAACCCAGTTAGGGTTTTCAGTTTTATTGAGCCTCGTGAATTTTGTCCTCAACTTTCTCCATCGCTCAATCGGATCTATAAATCAGATCATAGTTGATACGTATTGAACGTTAAATTGTTACGAAAATTATTTTTGTCATGAATTCATTGCACGACACTTTTAAAAATTTTAAACTATTTATAAATAAATTTATATTTTCTTATTAAAATATGTTATAGTAAATTCAGTGATTTTTTTAAAATATTTTAATTAAAAATGTACTTTACAATATTTATATGTATCATTTTAATTCAAAGTAACCACTCTAGTGAACAATTGACAATGGAAGACAATTTGTTAACAGGGATTGCCACATGTCAGGGAAATAAGTGAATTGTCAAAGAAAATATTTTTAATCGGGGAAATGCCAAGAAAAATAATTTTTTATCACGGAGATTTTTGAAACTTAGTGAAGTCAAAAATAAACAGATAATTTAAATTTTAAAAAACAGTAGAATTTTATACAGAAGAATATCAATAGAATGAATTTGGAAATGATTTTTAAAATTTATGACTTTTATTTTTTGTTATAATTCCTTATCTGTAATAAAAATTGTCTGTCAGGGAAAACTTTTGTAATACCAGGGAAATGTCTGGAAAATTGGAAAATAAATTCTCGTGCCAACTGTCATAAATAAATATTTATTCCGTTTGATAAAGTCAAATTACTTCTATTATGAGCAGTTTAAAAAAAATTGTGTTAAGATTCATGATGGTAAAAATTTTTTAAAAATAATTGTTTACTTGCTTATGTTTAAAAAAGTTATTTTGGAAATTCAATTTCTGAAAATGTATCTCAATAAAATACCTACTTTAAAGAAGCAAGATTGCCACGAAAATGTAATTTTCTTTCCTTCTGATATTTTCCTGATTTCCAGAAAGAAAATTTTTATTTTTTTCTGATCCTAATGTTCAAAACACTGATTTTTCGTACCTTTTCTAGAAATTTGACACTTTTCAAGCAGCGTTAAGAAAAATTTGTGACGTCTTTTATTTACTTAAAAAAAAGTTATGTGCTGATTCTTTTTATATAAAAAATTATAAAACATGAAAATCTTTAAAAACAACTGCACCGACACGAGTAAAATTGTAAATTCATGCATTTCTTAACCTTAAAAATTCCTGAAATATTTAATTAATGTTTTTTAATTTCCAGATTATACTTTTTATTTAAAAATTCTATTATAAAATTGCTCATAATGAAAGTAATTTAATTTAATTGAATAAAATAATTATATTTATTTGAAAATGGTCTTACAGTATCAACTGCTTGCAAGAAGAAACGTTTTAAAAGAGAGGTCTGATATACATATTACAATTTGAATTATTACTTGCAACCTCAATTACAGAAAAATTAAAAAATATGGTACTCTAATGTGGTGTTGTACTTATTTCTCTAAAAAAAATCTGATGCAAACATCAGAATAAAAAACAGATAAAAATGCATGTCGAGGTCACTGACCTATTATCTGGAATCCTCTAGGATTGAAATATTCGCTAATCGTCCGCCACGCATTTTCCTTTCTTTGCTGAAGAAGTAATCCACCGTTGTCCGATGGGTCGTATAAGCATGGAAACGCCCTAACCGCATTAATTACTTCCAGATCAGGATCAAATATTCCAGCCATATTTTTGACAATTTCGAATAACTTAAAATGGCGATAGACTCGTTTTCAAAACAAATGAATGAATGGGAATCATGATCTAAGGTGAAGACACTTTAAGAGTGAACTTCAGTGAAGGCAGTGAAGAACTAAGAGAATTATTGACTGAATATTTCAATTCAGCATAATATCTAATTGCAAAAATGTACCGTAATACGAAAATTAAATTTAGTCCTTTTGTTAAAAAATTGTATAAAGAAAAGAGAAGGTATAGCTTTTATCTCAAAAATGTTCAATTGAAAAAACAATTTAAATTATTTTCAATCACGATCGCTATAATTTTATCATAAATAACTTGCAATCATAAAGTACAATGTTAAATTTTATTTCTTTTGGTAAAGAATTATAATTTTTGTAAACGAGGACACCATTTTTTTCTGTAAATTTTCACTTTAAAAAATTGTTTAAATTAATTATTTACTTTTAAAAAAGGTTCGCTGTAATTTTTGCGAAAAATGCACTATCAGAAGCAAGTTTTAGAGATGTTCGCAAAAAAGTTAGAATTTGGAGAAATAAAAATTTTTATATTTTCATTGAAATCTTTTTGATAATAATTATTATCAATCTTGAGGCAGTCGGTTGAACAGTTTTGTCTATATAACAAGATGAAAATGGACGAACGGAAAAAGCAGTAATAGTTTCAGTAATTTTTTTCTCTATTGTTTATAGTTTTTAAGTTTATAATAATTATTTTTTAAAATGTATATCTCTTTAACGCACCACTATGAAGTACCATATTTTAATTATTTTTTGTCGGTATTAATTTATTAAATCATTACTCTTAACAAGTAAAATAATTTATCCGAATATTTACCTAGAAACTTGAGTTAAAAGAGGAGGAGTAGCAGGATTGTTCTATTCAAAGAAAATTGCACCAGCATCCGAGTAGAAGTAGTTTGTTAAAAATTCCCGACACTGGAAACGATTGTTCGGGATCAAGTCTTCCTCGTTATGAGGGTTTTGTGCAGGAACTGAAAAATATTGTAAATATAGCATATAACAAGTAAAACTTGGGATAAGACTATGTCAGGAATATTGTTGAATTTGAATTTGAGTGTCGTTGATTGCAATTATTGATTTTTATATATTTTTTTTCACCATACTCAAAAAACAGTTTTTTCTATATATCACACATGCAATTTAGTAATTATAAATTTCATAAACAGACGATTTTAAGTTAGGTTTTCTCCTAGCAAAAAAACGTTACCATACTTGAATTGGTTAAACTGTTTTTGCATAATACGCGATCAAATACTGCATAAAAACATATTGTATGCAGTACTACATACAAAATGTATAGATAGATAATTTTTTTCATTTTTTTTTATTCTGATGTCTCAAAACGGAAAGGAACACAGAGAAATGGATGGTTAAAAGTAGATGTTACCCAGTACCATCTTCTTCTCTCAGTGAATATGAAAATTTCCAACTTTAGAGCGATGTATAGACAAAAGTTTGAATTTATTCATACATATTAAAAGCTCACCGTTTCGTCTAATGGCACTTCGAAAATCGTCTAAAGTTTCTCCCCTCTCCAATTTTCTGTTAATGACGAAATTGTGTAGACATACGATGGCTTGAACGACTGCGATTGACGTTTCCAATTTGAACGCTAACTTGCAATGCAAGATTTGCCATACTGAGCAAAGAATACCAAATCCGTCCTCGAAGCAGTTGCGGGCCCTTGACAATCTGCAAACAAGTATGAAAAAAAGTCATATTGACAAATGTCAAAATTTATTCAGAATCAAAAATACAAATGAGAATATACTTGACTGTAATTGAAATGAGTTTGTCTTTCGGTAAGACCTCGACGTCTCGCAAACGGAACCATCATATAAGTCTGTTGAGAGAATATCTCATCCTCGATTAAATAATGGGGTAATACGAAATTTGAACGAGGGAGACGACCTCTTGCTGGAAAATCTGCCTCATCTCGTTCTAGAGCTTCGTAAAGACGTGTTCTCTTAAATGCTGCTGCATCACTGACAGAACCTGCCGACAATAAATAAATTGATCAGAAAGATGTTTTTATACCTCAGGCACGAAAAAAACGCTTTTAGAACCTATGGACATGGCGTAAAGCCACTCATTAAAAAACAGATCGATAATGAAATCTCATTACTGCCCTAGGGCAAAAAGCGAACCATTATTGACTCTCATTATTGCCCTAAACGAGTGATGCAAAAATCGAGTTTCAGTAATGGCTGCCTTTGGCCCCCGTTGCTTAACGTACTAAATGAACATTCATTACAATCACTGTTTCTTTTCACAACTTACCATAATTTCCAATGTCGACCCATATGAATCTATAATAGGCGTCACATGCAGCAAGCAGTTTGATGCTAAAAAATTTTTTATAATTAAAATAGTAACTGCCTGAGTGCGGTGGTGCTTTAATGTTTATTTCTTTTCCATCCACTACTCCAACGCAGTTCGGAAAGTCCCATTTGGCCCTAAAACCACCAGCGATGACTCTCAATTCCCGTTGTGTTTTTCTCTTTAACACAAGAGGTTGTAGTACCGTCCAAATAAGGGGACATACCTCCGCAATTATTGCGTATGTCGTCGATCTCCCAATTCGAAAGAATTGTTTTGTTGTTGATACGCTGTCACCATGAGCGAGGAAACTATATAATAAAGTAGCAATGAACAATAATAAGTAAACTGTCATAATATCGTAAATTAATTCTCAATGACAAAAAAAAGTTTGCAAAACTTAATTCAAAAATTTAATGCATTACAAAAAGTTCATCGATTTATGCTGTTTCCACCCTGTTTAGAATATACGATATAAATTAGATAATATTTAAAAAAAATTATAGATTTGAACAAATTATAGTTTATTGAGTTCACAATGAATACTCTAGAAATAGTTAAATTGATATCTAGAAACGTCTAAAAAAATATTACAAACATAGTTTGCTTAAACAATGCGCCATTATATTTCGTTTCAAGAATTAACACGCAGTTGAGCAACGAAGAGAATATATTGGAAGAAAGATGCCAAGAATTTTCTTCTATTTAACTTTTCAGCAGCTAGCCTGTAAATACTACACCGTAAATTCCTATACAATATGATTCGAACCAAAAAAATTTTATAATTTTGTTTTTATTAAGCTAAAAGTGTTTTTTTGTCGTACGATTACAGGAGTTATTTCTCTTGTTCATAAAAATAAGTTTTACGCATCTACAAATTATTTTTTCTCTGTTCTTAGATATTTATTTACTTGTATATTGACAGAAAAAAGTTATAGAGTAATTTCATTAAATTTCGACGAAAGTCGTTGCTCATTAATTTTAAAAAATTGATGCTTTCAGAAATGATTCTGTATAACACTTGGGAAAGAAAATTAAAAGAATTATCTACAAAAATTTTATGTTATTCAGTATTCAAAGGTATGTGAAAAACCTCCAAAGATAATGTAAAAATTTTCAAGTTATAAAATGGTAAAACGTATTTTCAAAAAATTCGAGATAGCGGCTCAAAAATGGCAACCAAATTCAATTTTTTTCACAAAATCTTAACATAGCACAATGCTAAACGTAGTTTGGATGGCAGTGGCCTTCTTAAACTAAACTTTTGAAGGTGAGGTCCAATAAGATTATGCAGACCCTCAAAATCATATGGTAACATCCTTGTCATCCTATAAAACTCTTCATGATCATATTCTGCATAATAGCGAAAAAGTGCTTGATATGCACCGAAAATGTCACGCATAGCTTCCCTTATATGGGGTTTAACCCACCATCGCCGAACAGGAAATTGAATAATAAACGTTATTTTTATAAACGTTATTAATAATAATAAACGTTGATACTGTTGAACAATATTAAAAAATTGAAGGCATAACAGTGTCAGGGTGAGAAGCAATTCCATATTGTGACTCTATAATTAAAAAATTAAATTAAGCAAATAATTTTATTTAAATTATTACATAAATTAAATTGTTATTTATACTACCCTACCGAAAGAGTGGTACTGGAATGGTACTGAATTGGACTTGGCTTGAGTTCCACTTCAGTACCACTACCTGATAACCCATAAGAAGACATTTTTAAAGTACTTTAACAATAGTTTTAAAGGTATGTTAGAACAGCAAAACGTCTCTCACGATATCCGTGTAAAACAGCAAAAAAAACATAATAGTTTGTAGAAAATTTCAGTTAAGTTTGGAAATTATATTGCAATCCCTCCTTGAACAATAGACTCCCAGGTCCTTTGTTGAAGGATTACAATTTTAACCCGAGTTTTATTGCTTAAAAAATTTGTAATTTTAACAACTCAACTTTAAAAAATATATATGTGACAGTCCCCGAGAGAAGGGACCTTAGCTCACCAGAGGTCAATATTGAGTTTTATATGGTAAATGATAGATTTTGAATTGCTTTTTCACATGCAAAAGTCAAAAACTGATTAGGATAATTGCTTTTGACACAATAACATTTTGAAGATGGGTATGTCAAGCGCATTTCGAGGCGGATTGTGGCACTCAAGAAATCAGCCCCACTACTTTACTTACACAACTATACTCTAGCGTACGTGAGCTTCGCGTACGTGAGACCCGAAGATACACGAAGTAGACGAAGCTCACGTATACAGAAACACAACGTTGTGTTAGTGTGGTGGGGGGACTTTTCAGAAGTTCCGCCCCACTCTTCGAGTTCCGCGTTTCTGCTTCTTCTTCAAACGCTTGCCCTGTGAAATTCGTTTTGGTGAGCTAAGGTCCCTTCTCTCGGGGACTGTCACATATATTGAGATTCGTTAATATTTCTAGATTATGAATATCTAAAATTTACCATAAAATAATTACATTTAAAAAAGTTATAATTTATCTCGTATACCTTAAGTTTGATAAAAAAATGGACATCATTTTTGAATTTAGCTGACAAAGGAAATATCATATGCATAATAATGTATGAAAATAATATAAATCCATGAAAAACAAATATAATATTGAAATAAATATAAAGTTTTTGTTTAAACATATTGAAAAAGCTAGTCGCTTTTCACTTTTATGAGGGTATTAACGGTAACTCGACCCTTTTCGCAGGTAAATTTCCCAGTTCCATTTCAGTACCAAAATGCACCAAATTAGTACTGAGTTGGTACTGAGATCTCAGTTCCAATTTCCCAGTACCAATCCAGTACCACCCTTCCGGTAGGGTACTTATTTATTTCAATCGATTCAACCTCATGACATAACCAGAACTGAAACCATGCTTTTTTAATAAAATATTGGGTTGTTTCACATATAATATCGGGTATTCAGTTTTTACTATTACTAAAAAATTATAAAAATTTTGAATTTTTGAAAAATGAAGTTTCGTCGTTCCTTTTGTAATATACCGTAAAATGAGGTAAAGTCGGCGTTTGAGGGTAAAGTCGGCCGGCGCTTTAAATCATTTTAAAGTTTAACTATTACTTTTTTCCAGAAGAAATCCGAGTTTTATTAAAAATGTAGTTAGAATTAATGTAAAATAATAAATGAAATACAATATTTAAGTGTTTAAAGCGCCGGCCGACTTTACCCGCAAACGCCGACTTTACCTCATTTTACGGTAATACTTATATTTATAAAAAAGATATATAAAAATCACTATAAATGTTTAAATCACGAACAACTGTTTTCACAAGCTATAAACAATACTTTAATCTTTAATTGACTAATTTTACGTTTTTCGGAATTTTTATATGAAACAATTTTTAAAAAAAAATAATTAATAATGTAATTTAACTAAATTTCGAAATTTATAGTTGTATAATTAAGAAAATTATTTTGAGTCAAAAGTTGTTGCTTATTAAATAGTCAAAACTTGATCAAGTTTTAAGCCATGGGATGTAAATAAAACTTATTCTCTTGTTTTTATTATTGGATTATTCATTTTGATATTTCGATAGTAAAAAAACCATGAAATTTATTTGAGTTCGTAGAATAATTTTAATAATTTTTATCCAATTTTCATATATAGATAGAAAACAGCTGATTTTCCTTCTTCTCTACAATTTCATTTGTGTCAGTTTTTGTTAAATCTTATTTTGTTTTAGAAATATTGAAAAAATAAAATTTTGTTTGTTTACTAACTTTCAAACAAAAACTTTTAATAATATTTAAGAAAAAAATTATATAGAATTTTTCAAAGATCAAAGTAAGTTATATCATTTAAGTAAAAACTGTTTTTGTTTACAGAGTTTAAAAAACACCACGAAAAAGTAAATAAATATGATTTAAGAATTTTTGGCTTCAAATGAGTAGTTCTGAAAATTGCACAATGATTCTTTCAAAATTCAATAAAATGATCAATTGCAAACATTTTAGTTTGAGGTTATGTCAAACGATTAAATGAATATATTGATACTTACTACGATTAAATATATTATATTACTACACTGACTAAATTAATTTTATTTAAACTTTACCTTACCTTTCAATTAGCAGCACTTATTTCCGAATAAAATTCACAAAATTAATATTATTCTCGCCGCATGGAGAACATGTGATCTGATCAACATTTAGTTCGACACAACACTTAGTTTACCGAAACAGCGGAACCGCAGAACATGGGATGAGATAAAAATTTTAGACAGTTGGCAACAACGTTGTGACGTCATATTTACGCGTCGACATTTGCACGCATGTTGCGCGCTAACAGCACGCTCCATGGCTATTGTGGACCTTCTTTAACGGCTGCAGGACGTAATAAACCTAAAATTATATTACTTTTGTACTTTTTATTTTACGATCGCATTTTTGTATAGATTTGCATAATCTTAATCTTTCGGATTTAAGAAATTTATAAGATAAGGATCCTTGGTATTTTTTCCGATTTTGAAAAAAGTGTCTACGTTTTAAGAAAAAAGTATTTTAAAATCAATGTTTATCTTTTTCACGTTCAGTGCCGTTTTTTGGAGCGATTATTAAATGCCAAAGAATTTCAGAGACCGTTCGACACTCTTAAGAAACCTTTATGAGTAATTCAAAGTTTCCCTGAATTATACACAAAAATTTCCACCCAAGTAGCATGTAATATTCCAGTAACATTACAGTAATATTACTTTAAACTTACAGCCATATTACTGATATATTACACGTTTATTTGAAATACATAAAAATTTTAAAGTTTTTTAAGATAAAACACAAAATAATAAAAATTAATCACTCAAATATTTTTTTAGTGTTTTTTAAAATTTTGATATTTTTACTGTAATATTACAGTAATATTACGTGCTACTTGGGCATCTTTAAATTGACTTCGGTTTTAGTCGTTTTACTAATAAATACTTTCAGATTGGGAGCACATTATTTTTGTATGTAGTATTTGTTCATTAGTTCTTTTGACTTGGATAACATCTTAAAACAATTATCTATTGCACCGATCGAACTGAAATTTTTATATCTCATTATACATATATACCGCTATTGTCCGAATTAAGATAATGATTTTTTAATATTATTTAATTAATTTTTAAACAATGTAAATTAAAAAACAAGATCCTCCATTTTGTTTTTATTAACGAAAATATTTTATCGTATTTCGGACAATAGCGACAAGCTTACTTTTCAACAATCTGGTCGTGTTTTATTTTTTCGATGCCCTGAATTTGATATATCGTGTCAGCCATGACAGCAAGATAATTAATAATATATAAGGAATAAAATTTTTTATTTAATAGTTTATAACTCCTTCTTTTATGTATAACAAGTTTGAAGTAAATAAAATAAATTGTCTAATTAAAAATCTATCTAAAAAATAATGAAGATGTGGTACTAGCCCCTTAAAATCAGATGAATTAAAACATGTAGAAGCGTTAATCGCGTAATATTCTGAAAGATTTTATTTACCAGGTGAATATTTAACAGCTACAAATGTTATCCAACATAACATCCCTACTAAAGACGACGAACGATTCACGCGACAATATAGATTTCCACCAGTACATAAAGAAGAACTATTAAGACAAACAAGTGAACTTTTAAAAAATAAAATAATCAAACCTTCTCAATCCGTATATAATACACCAGTATGGATTGTGCCGTAAAAGAATGACAGTCACGGAAATAAAAAATGGATAATGGTACTCGACTTTCGTAAACTTAATGAAAAAACTATTACCGACTTTTTTCGGTTGCCTAATATCAATGAAGTGTTAGAGACGCTTGGGAATGCGCAATATTTCTCTGTGTTTGACTTAGCTTCCGGTTTCCATCAAATCAAAATGAGCTCAAAAGATTCTCATAAAACAGCCTTTTCAACGCCATATGGTCTCTATGAATTTGACCGTATGCCTTTCGGTTTAAAGAATTAATGAATTGTTGTCTATCCGGTCTTATTGGTACAGATTTATTTGTATGTCTTGATGATTTGGTAATTATTGCAAATTCTCTTAAAGAACAACAACAAAAATTTGATAATTTTATGTCGCGACTGTGTAACGCGAATTTAAAATTACAACCAGATAAATGCGAATTTCTCAGACCCGAACTAGTTTATCTCGGACACATAATCGATAAAAATGGTGTCCGACCTGATCCAAAACAGATAACTGCTGTTAAATATTTTCCAGTTCCAAAAAACCTTAAATATATAAAACAATATTTAGGACCTGCCGATTATTATCGAAGATTCATTAATAATTTTTCTAAAAAATCTGGACCTTTAACGCAACTTTTAAAAAAGGATATAACATTTCAATGGACAGAAAAACAACAAGTAGCTTTTGAAATTTTAAAAAATGAACTTTGCGAGGAATCATTCTTACAAAGACCAGATTTTGATAAGTAAAATATGACACTTCTAATGAAGAGGCCCTCGCGATTGTATATTGTGTAGGGGAGACCGGGGCTGAAAGGGCCGGGGGTAAGTTGTGCCGATAGGATTATCTCAAAAAAAAAATTTTTTTTTTGAAAAGTGAAAGTGCGAGAAGTATTGTTTTACTTATGCGCATCTTTGGCAACTATTTTGATTTTGTTTGCTTCACGGAATAATTAGCTGATAATAATTTTGTGCTTTGGCGTCACTTACGTGCAAGTTTTCATGTTTACACTTTTTGGTCTATTTTTTACATTTTTAAAGATATTGATACGTATTTTGATGATACGTAAAAATGATCTAAATTTATCAAGGGATTCAATGGTGTATTGATCTTAACATTTAATTTATCTAGTTTTTTAATATTTGATAAAAAGTGAACGTCGACGCAACGACGTTAATTGTGCCTTTCGCTTGGGGGTGTTTGTGCCGCTGTCAATCGCTACATAACGATAATCTACTATTGCCTCGTTTGTTCGAATAGTTATTCCAACCCGAAATCAAGAGGAAAGTTAATTCAATGCATAGTTTGCAAAAACTGGGCACATTTAAAATGTGTGAAGGGTAAAAAAAGGGTCAGTTATATGTGTGTCAATTGTAATTTCAATAAATCGCATTCGGAATAAGTATTCATGTCTTAAAAATTATTTATTAATCAGAAAGTAGAGTTTTTACAATTAATTAACGATAAAAACAATTATTTCAAAAAATATTTTAAAAGACTGACTAATTATGCAATTGTAAAATTTAAGTCAGAAATGTTTATTTATTTACAAAAATCTATAAATGTTATGATTGTTGGAAAAAAATTTTGAATGTTTATAATAAAAATACCTATTACGGAAACTATATTTTAAGTGACTGACTAACTATGCAATTATAGAATATAAGTCAGAAAATGTATATTTGTACTTACTAAAATCTATAAATCTTAAGATTGTTCCTAAAAACTTTAAAAGTTTATAACAAATGATTAATAAATAATAGTAAATCATATATTGGCAATAATTATTTTATTTCTTACGCGTAAAATCATTTGCTTCAACTGAAACAACTAAAAAATCTGAGCGGCACAACTCTCCCCAGCGCGGAGTTCAACGTGCCGTGTTGCCTCGCTGCACAGAATCATTTTACAAAAAAATTGTTCAAAATTATCAAAAAATTATAATGGATTTAAAAACTACATTAAATTTTAAAATAGAATACGATTTTGAGATGTTATACAAGGCAGGAAAAATAAATGTTAATTCTGATGCATCCCTGGCGGATTGTATGATGCGAATGCTCCACAAAATTGGCGAAGCATTCGTGGAGCAGGAGATCGAAATTGAAATTTTTATCTAAAATGTATAAAAATGATGAAATTGATAATATAATTATTAAAATCAATAAGTTTTATGTATTTTAAGATGATTATTGTTGAATAATTATAAAATTTTTATGTTTTTATTAATTTCAATATATTGCAGTTGATTGTCAACATTTGTCGATAAAATCAATAGAGCCGCGCTTTTTAGCAGGTAGGTGGCTGCATTCTTATTTTCTTTTCTTTAAATTTTTTATATATTTTTTTTATCAAAATCAAAATTATATGTTCAACGGAAATATTAGTAAAAAAATGTATTATTTTATTTTAAAAATTAATATTGTAATAAAAAATATGTGGTTATATTGGTAAAAAAAATTAATTTTTTTATCAAAAAAACATTTTAAAAAAATTTAATTTAAACGTAAATAATGGTGAAAAAATGAATTATTTCATCAAAAAAATTGATGAAAATTTATACTTTTTATCTAAAATATTAATCACAAAAATTAATTTTTTTTATGAAAAATATTGTTGAAAAAATGTATCATTTTATCAAAAAAAAATTAATATTTTTGATAGAACAATTTTTTTCAGGAATATTTTCTTTAAAAAATAATGTTTTTTCAAACAAATTTTGGAAAAAATAATTTATTTTTTCCAACAATATTTCTGATAAAAAAATTAATTTCTCAGCAATATGTTTGTTTAAATAATAAATTTTTTTTACCAATTTTTCCGTTTAAAATTGGTATCTTATTTCACCATTTTTTTAAAAATTAATTTCTTTCACCAATATTTTTGATTAAATAATACATTTTTCACCAATAATTCCGTTTAAAATTAATTTTTTTCAATTTTTTTTTTGATAAAAAAAATTAAATTTTTTACCAATATTTTTGATTAAATAATCATTTTTTTATCAATATTTCCTTTAAAAAAGATTTTTTTTCACCAATATTATTATTAAAAAATCGGACAAGTGCGAGTTGCATTCGCATTGAAATCAAGGGTTCCGTACTCGAAGCGAACTTATTTGGTACAAAAACAAATGTTTAAAAAATATGTGTTGTATGTTAAATAATATATATGATACAAAAAGGAACAATTTTTTAAAAAAAATTAAGAAAATTGTTCCTCCTTTGGTATAAAAACAAAAAAAAATTTTACATATATGTTGTATTTCAAATATAATACAGTTGACTCTCGATAATTAAACTCTTGATAATTTGAATTTCTCGTTAAATTGAAGTAACAGTCCAGTCTCTTGAAAAACTCTTGGTAAATTGAAAATAAACAATGGTTTTATGTACTCTCGATAATTAAAAGTATCTTTTGGTCAATTTCTCCATTCACTCTCTATATATTGAATTCAGCCAGACCAAACTCTCAATAATTTGAACTTTTCTTGCGATACAAATTTACATATTTACGTACAAAATATTCTCTTCTTAATAATAGTTATTGTATTGTTTCATTTGTCAATACAATACCTAATTACCTTATTATTAACAATGCTGAGTAATTTCTTAATTCATTTTGCTATCTGCCTCGGTTTATATCGTTTAAAATGTTTCTAAGAACCAATAAAAATTTATCTTTTTCCGAAAGGAAAATAGTTATTGAGGTGGTAGAGAGAGGAGCAACAAAAAAAGATGTCACATTGAAAGAGGCGAGATCATCTTTGAATGCTTTGCACTCATATGCACTTCGCGTGGAAGTCGGAGAAGTTTTTACAGATCTAATGACAATTGAAAAAAATATATAGATATTGCACGTTTGAGTACATTAAAACAAAAAAGATTACATAGACTATATCCAACTGTAAAGAATGTCTTTTTAAAATACGTAAAAATTAAATTTTCAATACTCTTGTTATTTTGAATTTCCCCAAATTTCCCCTCGATAATTAAAACATGCGATAAATAAAACTCTCGGTAATTTGAACTGTTTTTACGGTCCCTTGAAGTTCAATTTATCGAGAGGCGACTGTATAAGTGATACGAAGAGGAACAATTATCTTTAATTTTACAAAATTGTTCCTTTTTGTATCACATATATTATTTAACATACAACACATATTTTTTAAACATTTGTTTTTATACCAAATAAGTTCGCTTCAAGTACGGAACCCACGATTTCAGTGCGAGTGTAACTCGCACTTGTCCGAATTTATTTTATAAAAAATATTTTACTAAAAAAATATAAGAAACATAATTTTATTTCAACTCGCAATATTTTTATTGTATTTACATTTTAAAAATACATTGAATATTAAATTTTGTCAAAAAGAGATAAACCTTAAGATATTGATATAAGGCTAGTAGCTGCTTGTCAAGGAAAAATCGAAAGTTATCTAAAAAATAAAATTTGTTTATTAATTCTTTTTATTAATTAATTTATAATTTAATTAAATCTTTTGAAGATTAGTATTTTGCCAATTTCATTGAAATAATTAATGTTAGTCTCAAGTTTTTCTTTAAAATATTAGTGCATTAAAATTCTTGTTAAATAAAAATATGTAATATATTTACCCATTTTTCTTAGAAAAGTATTTAAAAAATTTCAAGAATTATTAATTTAAATTTGCAAATGTGTCTTGTCAAATTGTGAAATTAACATATGAAAAACATATGAAAACACATGAAGTAAGTCAAAAGAAACTTGTTGAAAAAATATTTAAAAGAAACTTTTGTTAACATTTTATTCTCTTCGAAATATATTCTCGGTAAATATATTACTGTGAAATTTATAAAAATCAGTCTAAGATTTTTATTTCATTAACATTAGGTATTAGAAATATATTTTATGTTTAAATTTGAATTAATTCCATTGTTTGTTGTTAAATAAAATTAACATTTTCTTTTAAAAGAAATGTGAAGAGAATATCGAATTAAAAAAAGAATAAGAGAAAAAGAAAAAAATATGAAAAAATTCAATACAAAAAAGAAAGGAATAAAATAAGTACAAGAATTGAAATAGAAAAATGAGGGTAAGAGAAAATAGAAGGTAAATTTTTTATTGATTACTTTTAAGTATTCTATTTAATTAATAAAAATGTACTTTTCCGTAGATTATTATATACTAATTTACTTATCATTGAGGTAAATGAGGTTCATTTGAGGTAAATTTAATAAAGTAATGAAAGTTAAAAAATCAATAATCCGCATTTTGGCTATAAAATTTTGCTATAAAATTTAAATTTAAAATCTGTAAAATTTGTGAAAATTGTTTCTCTTCGTATCACTTATATTATGTGACATAGAACACATATTTAAAATTTTTTTTTGTTTTTATACTAAAAGAGGAACACTTTTCTTAATTTTTTTTTCAAAATTGTCCTTCTCTGTATCACTTATATTATTTAACTTTCAACACATATTTTTCAAATATTTGTTTTTATACCAAATAAGTTCGCTTCGAGTATGGAACCCTCGATTTCAGTGCGAGTGTAACTCGCACTTGTCCGATTTTATTTTTATTTTTTAATAATTACAAGAATTGAAATTGAAAAATGAGGGTAAGAGAAAATAGAAGGTAAATTTTTTATTGATTACTTTTAATTTTTAAATATTCTATTTAATTATTAAAAATATACTTTTCCATAGATTATTATATACTAATTTACTTATCATTGAGGTAAATGAGGTTCATTTGAGGTAAATTTAATAAATTAATGAAAGTTAAAAAATCAATAATTCGCATTTTGGCTATAAAATTTTGCGTTTTAATTGAATTAAAATCATTTAAATCACTTACATGAGTTAAACAAAATTATTGCTTCCTCGGCGAGGAAGCCAAATTTTTATGAAATGAACATAAAGAAACCCCTGTTTTATTTTAGAGTTATGAATACTGAATAAATAAACTTAAAGAAAAAGTCCACTTTTTGCACTTCTTATCATGTTTATTAAGTTATTTCTATAATCTACACATAAAAATACGTAAAAATAATAAATTTGAAGCCCTTTAGATAAAATTTTTTTCGTTATTCGGAAAAAATTCCTGATTTTTTCTAAAATTATCAGTTTTTTCTTGACAGTCCCAGAAAAATCAACTCCAATCATCCTCGCTATATTTTTTTGTAATCTACACGTAAAAATACGTCAAAATATATAAATTTAAATCACTTTAGATAAACTTTTTTCGTTTTTTGCGGAAAAATACATTTTTTTCCTAAAATTGTCATTTTTTCTTGAAAAACTTGATAAAAAGTTAATCACCAACTCTAATCGTGATGGCTTTATTTCCCTGTGTTGTTCACGTAAAAATACATTTGTATACTAAATATGAACTGTCTGGGTTGAATATTGTGTGCGCTAGGGAGAAAAAATTAATTTTTTCGAAATTTTTTATTTTTCCTTGACAACGCTATGTAAATTGATCTGAATCAAGTTCACTATATGTTTCCTGTGATTTTCACGTAAAAATACGTAAGTGTACCAAATTTGAGCTCTTTATGTCAAAAGATGTGGCTACTAGGGGGGGGGGGGGGGGTACATAGTCATTTTTCGTAAAAATTCATGGTTTTTCCTTGACAACGCTATGATAATCAATTCCTATCAGGTTCGCTATATTTTTCCTGTAATCTACACGTGAAAATACATATGTGTACCAAATTTCAGCCCTCCAGATAAATTCGTGTGGCCGCTAGGGGGGGGGGGGTACACAATTTCAAAAAAACCGATATTAATAGTGTTCCGAACCGAGTACGGAACCCTAAAAAATTGGTTTTTCATCAATATTGTTGTCGCCGTAAGAAACAACTAATAATATTATTTTTGTGAGTTGGTTACTCAACTGAGAACAAACTCTACTTTATTTATTTAACAAGCAAAGTACAAAAAATTGGAGATAATCAATCCTTCCAAAACTTCACTGAGTCTTTTTGGAAGACAATTTACTAACCGTGCTATCACTTTGAGTAGCGACTAATTAATCTGACGACACCTGCTTATGCATTAATTTTAAAGGACTGTGCAATAGTCCCCACTCTTTACAATACACACTCATACTTCATACTGTCGACACCTCCCTCCTTTAAACTATCGATGATTTTCAAATTAACATTTATTTAAAAATTCGATGCAGGTTTCCTTCTAGGAGGTTTCGAATGTAACTCAAAATTTAATCCTGGCA